AGTACCTGAAAAGGGGAAAAAGGAGTGTAATTGTATGCATTTCAAGCAAGCCACCTTCATCACTGTTGATAATCATACCTTGGCCTGCAAATGATCCTGCAGATCCCACAACCACAGATTGGCATTGCAGGTAATCACCAGCAGGTGTGACCGATTGGTGAGGACCATCCGCGCGACGGGCGATTCGACAAATTCGACAAGCGAGTACAAGCGGCGACCAGTGGACATGTCAAGGACAGTCAAGCTGCGGTCATCACAGGCGGCCACCACTAGGGCCTGGTTGGCGACCAGGGTGCAGATGGTCGGAGAGAGGAGGACGCTCCACAGTGGCTTCTCAACGTCCACCACCACCGCTAGCTTGCAGAAGGAGGACGACACCAGCGGACGCTCTACGTCGGCAGCTGTGACAAAACAAATGTAATAAGTTAGGGGAAACTAAGCAGGCACAAAAACAAATGACTTACTGTACACCTTGCCCGTCTCTGAGCAGGTAAAGAGTTTGGTGCTAATCTTTGAGGACTGCTGAAAGTTTAACCTCAGAGCAGGGAAGAAGTTGTGTCGGCGTGAGTAGACTGATGAGGAGGAAGAGGTAGCAGTGTTTGAGCGATTGTTTGCCCTGGCAGTGGTAGAGGAGGAAGATTTGCTGGTGGCGAGGGTGGAGGATGCAGCTGCTGCCGTCCTCATCATGTCAGCCCCGTGAGAGGCGATAGATTTGGGGCCATTTGGTAGTGCACTCGCTTCAGTCAACCTGATACTAGACACACCATCGATGACATTTGACATTTGTTGCTGTTTACTAGCTTGTTGGTTCGCGCCGACCCCAGACGACTTTCCAGATTTTCCTTTATCCTCTTTTACCTGCTGCTGCAGACGCCGTTTTTTATTTGCACGTAGAATATTTTTAGAATTCATTTTTCTTTTTCTCTTTGGCCGGCAAAGGATGATATCACTTGAAGAGGAGTCGGAAGAGGATTCAGGTCGAACGTGTGACGTGCTGTTGCTGCTGTTTGCCGCCTTGTTGGCCGCATTGACCATTGTGCCATTGGTGAGAGTGGTGGCGGCAGCAGATGAGGTAGAAGGCATCAGTGACTTTGGCCGGTACTTACTGGAATTGCTGGTGTTGTTGCTGCTGTGGCTCATGTTGTTACCCTGCTTTCCGGGGGCGCAAGTCACATTCATTGACGGCGTCTTTTGCGGCTCTGAGCCTCCTTCTTCCTCATCTGTACTTTGCAACATAAAATTGGCAAAATTCCTTTTCCTCCTGCCTTTACGCGGAAGGATGATATCACTTGAAGAGGAGTCGGAAGAGGATTCAGGTCGAACGTGTGACGTGCTGTTGCTACTGTTCGCCACCTTGTTGGCCGCCTTGACCATTGTGCCGTTGGTGAAAGTGGTGGTGGCAGCAGATGAGGTAGAAGGCACCGGTGACTTTGGCCGGTACTCACTGGAATTGCTGGTGTTGTTGCTGCTGTGGCTCATGTTGTTACCCTGCTTTCCGGGGGCGCAAGTCACATTCATTGACGGCGTCTTTTGTGGCTCTGAGCCTCCTTCTTCCTCATCTGTACTTTGCGACAAAAAATTGACAACTTTCCTTTTCCTCCTGCCTTTACGTGGAAGGATGATATCACTTGAGGAAGAGGAGTCATCAGAGGACTCAGGCCGAACTTGTGACTTGGAGCCACCTCCTTTAGCTCCTTTGGACGTTCCTTTGCCAGCCGAAGCGGCTGTCGTCGTCTTCGCATTCGTCAGTCCATTCGACATCACTTGATCGCTAGAGACGTAGGTCATGTACTCCATCGGCGAGTTCGATTCACCACGGGTTTCCATTACAATTTTACTCTTCGCCTCGCTGCTCGAGCTGAAGGACATCGAGTTGAACGAGCCAGCGGCGGCTGAAGTGCTGCCACTGGCAACCACCGAGCCACCTCCACCGCCTCCACAATGGTCCATCTCTTCATTTACAAGTGCATCACTGACCAGGGGAATGAAGAGCGGAATGATGCGACGACGACTGTCAGCAGAATGATTTTCAATCTGCTCTTTCAGTGGTCCTTTTGCCAGACGGAGGCCACCGCCAATGGCACCTTTCGAGGAGTTTGAGTTGTTGTTGCCGAACATCTCCACAGAAGAGGGCTTCTTACTGGTGCTGGGGAGATCTTCGGCGGCGACAGGCATGAAACCTGTAGACAAAAGTTCTTTAACTGCACTTTGCTGCTTCTTCCGCAGCAACGCCATATCACCGTCCTCAATGAGATTGCTCGTGATAGCGCTCTTGCTGCTGCTAATGACTTTGCTGTGCAGTTCTTTCTCCGTGAACTCGATGAAGGTAACAGTGCCATCTGAAGAGCAGGCCATCAGCTTGTAGCCGTCGGGCGACCAGGAAAAGTCGAGTATGGAGTTCTCAAAGAGGTCCTTGCAGACCATCAGCGGGCGACCGCCGCGGGCCGTGGCCCAGATTGAGATGGACTGGTCGTGGGAGTTGACGGCAATGACGCTCTGTCGCTTCAGCTTCGCCTCCTTGTTCTCCTTGTCGCCTTTGTCACTTCCTTTGCTGGCCTTGCTTGCAACCGCCGCCACCGACTGGAACCTGAAGATGTTCGGGTTGAAACACATCACGGG